GAAAATTAGATTGCGATGCCTAAAAATGTCATTTTATTGTTGGTGTTTTTCTTACAAAATTACAAATTAAAAAACTATAAAAAACATAAAAACAAAAGTGAATCTACAACAAAAACAAAAACAATCAAAATTCTCACAAAATTCTAAAGCCTCAATGGAGACTTCTTCTTAATCCAAGTTCCAATGCCTTCTTACATATAATGATAAACTCGTGTATACTCTTCTGTCATAGATGAGAGATGGAAAAGAAGAGGGGAGAGCGTACCAGTAATTTAAAGCTCGTACATGGAGATGGAATTGGAGAACACATAAATGAAAAAAAAACCAAAGATTGAAGGGTTTAAATATTGAAGTTGAAACGTTCCAAGAGAAATGGAAGAGTTTTTGAGTTAAATGTGAAAATTAATTGGATTTAAATATTGAAGTTGAAACGTACCAAGAGAAAGGGAAGAGTTTTTGAGTTAAATGTAAACATTAATTTGCAAAATTACTAAGAAAGAAAAGTCAAAATGTGGAAAAAAGAGAAAAATAGGATATTTGCATCGAGGAGATGCCACGTTAACCTATCATGATTTTGCTTTATAGATATATATAGATGTTTCAGTTTAATTAATATTTTTAGGCTTTTTTCAATAGATCATTAATTGGAGTCCTATCAAATACTTGGAATTTTTCTGGTTGTTTTCCCATACTTTATAAAATTAGTCGAGATATGACAAGCTGACCCGTATACCTGATAATTACTAACAGAATATTCCAATTTAATTAACGATCATTTATAAGGAATGTTATGAAGAGTAGACTAAATACATTTTTATATATTGTTAAATACTTGGTATCTATTATTTTTGTGCTCGATACTTTAATATTAAGATTTAGGGAAAAGTTTTAAAAAAACCTAATGGACTTTAGTGTTTGAAATGATTAAGTTTTTAGACAGTTTTTTGGAACAAATAAGTACTTGGAGATTCCAAAATCTGTTAAATAAACTCTTGGACTTTCTAAAATCTGTTACATACATTCTTATGACCTATAAAACTGGTTAATGTGATAAAATAATGGAAAAAGTCTTAAAAAAGCCAATGTACTTTCATATTTTGAAGGATTAAGCCTCTAAACATTTTTTGAACAAAAAAAGTAGTTACATTTAAAAAAAATTATTGATGAAATTTATTTTAATTAAAAATAAAAGATATTATGTCAGTGATTTTCTAAATAAAATAAAAAGGGATTTAAAAAGAATACTGATTAAATTTATTTTAATTAAAAATAAAATATATTTCGTATATGATTTCTCAAATTTAAAAAAGGATCGGTGATGAAACTTATTTTAATTAAACATAAAATATATTTCGTTGGTAATTTTTTAAATTAAAAAAATAGAAAATAATTTGATTAAATTATTGACGAGTTAACGATAAAATTTAACTAAATACATAATTAATTAAAATTCGTCGTTAGTGTTCATTGGTATATATGCATGGATTATTTATATCTAATTGATGACTAACCTGACTACCGTCAGATGCTCGAACACAATAACATGTTCATAAGTGTGAAAGATCGTGCTTGAATCTTGTCGGTGATATCATTTTACCGACGGATTAGCGACGAATTTTAATTAATTCTATTTTCTTAATTTGAAAAATCACCAACGGAGTATATTTTATTTTTAATTAAAATAAATTTCATCAGTAATCATTTTTAAATCTTTCTTTATTTTTTAATTTAAAAAATCACATACGAAATATTTTATTTTAATTAAAATAAATTTAATCAATAATTACTTTTAAATCCTTTTTTATTTTTTTTATTTGAAAAATCACTGATAGAATATATTTTAGTTTTAATTAAAATAAATTTCATCAATTATTCTTTAAATGTAAGTTTTAGTAAATCTTGTTTTATTTTATAGATGTAAGTGTTTTTTTTTTTTTTTGTTCAAAAAATGTTTAGAGACTTAATCCTTCAAAATATAAAATTTCATTGGTTTTTTTGTCAGAATTTTTCCATTATTTTACCATATTAATCAGTTGTATATGTTATAAGAATGTAGCTGACAGGTTTTAAAAAGTCTAAGAAGTTATTTAACATGTTTTAAATGTTCAAAGATTTATTTATTCCAAAAAATTATACAAAAACTTAATTATTCAAAATACTAAAATCCATTAAGTTTTTTTAAATAATATTATTTGATTTGATCTCGATGTTATAAGAAAATGCATGTTGTAAACTTGAAAACACGTAGAATCTGGAGTGGGGGGGTCAACTGTTTAGGTGGCGGCCAAGCATTATCCGAATAAGCCCAAGTTGGGGAGGACAATGCGACAACGACGTTTTATCTTCCCAATTTCAACCCTGGGTCCCACCTCACCCTACCGGCTACACGTGATGGACATGGGTTGGACGGTTCATGGCTCTGGCTGCTCCTTACTCCGGCTCAGACCAACCAAATAATTCGTGGTCCAAGGCTTTTCTAACGTTTGGATCCCTCCAAAAATATAATTTCATAAAAGATACGGTTATCTGTTTGTTGTTAAAATGAACCCAAAAAGGAGGTGAGCGAAGCCGAAGCATATGCTATGGGTGAAGTGTCGTCTTGAATTGAGTAAATACATATGATGATTGTGGCCCCTATAAATAACCCCCATCCCCCTTTCATTTTCTTCATCACTACTCGACGTGTTCTTTCCCCCATCCTTGATAATCCCATCAAACAATCTGGAACTCAATAATCAACTCATAATGGATCACCGCAAGCCGCAACACGGAGGTTCTTCGTTTACCGAGAATCTGTTTGGCCCAAAGGATTCGCCGTCCACCTCCACCTCCACCTCCTCTTCCTCCTCGGGCCTTTTCAGCTCTGTTTTTGGTCCCTCCTCCACGGTATATTTGCGTTTTTAGTTCATCGTCGTATTCACAAACAAAATGATTTAGTAGCCTCACCCTTTACTGTTTCTATGTCAGGGTCTAGGAAGAGACTCATCCCACTCTAAGAACACAGGATCATCCAAAAAACAGGAATATGGAAATGGCAGGCATTCAGCACCAGGTTGGTATAAATTTTTTATAGATAATTAATGTATCTACTTACATATGGCTTCTATCAATAACCTCATATTTTGGCAATAATAGATTACAAGACACAAAGAGGCAATGGTGAAAAGCAAGGGAATCCCATTTACCAAAATGAAACAGTAGAACCAAGCTATCTGAGTTCATCCATTTATTATGGTGGCCAAGAAGTTTATTCTCCAAACCACCAAACCAGTCGCCCTCACCATACTGTGAGCATCTTCACCTTTTTTTGTTATATATTCAGCAACTAAATGTTAAGACTAACAATGTCTTAATATGCTTTTTGCTTAATTAGTTCAAGAAAGATGGAGGAGACGACGATCCAAACGGGAGCAGTGCTTCCAGGGGAAATTGGTGGCAAGGTAACAACTTCATCATGCATAAAGATTGCAATAAAGCAATGCTGCCTGCATAGTTTCTGGCCCAAATTAAGATCTTGTTTGTGTTTTCCCACAGGTTCTCTCTACTACTAAATAAACTGGGAGTTGGAAGACGGTAAAGTTGGGTTGTGGTGTTCCTTGTGGGGTCTTCATTTTCATGAAAGTTGTACATGAGCTGATGTTGTGCTCATTCAAGAGTCCTCATGTCTGTTTGTCACTTTGTTTAAAGGCCTTTCTTTAGTTAGAGTTTCAAAGGTGTCTATGTATATCTCCAAATGATCCATCTATATATAGTATGGAGTATGCGACTTGTTTCTGTACCTAATTAAGACGGTTTTTGACTTCTCCCAACTAAGATTTATATTATTCTGTTATCTTTGACAGAATATGCATTTTTGGTGCATTTAACCCGAAAGATACCAGGGTTTTCTAGTCGTTACCCCAGTCTCTTATCTCCATCGATAATGCCAGCCTGGCTTAGTTAAAGTTGGGTTATGTCCAAGGATCAAACCTGGTTCTAGGTCGGACCATACTGTCACACATAGGCCTCCTTAAGCCTGCTAGATCCAAGAGGGAACGCACCAGCTGATCTGATTCCATGATATCTACGTTCAATAATCGTGGAATATAGAACAATGGCATTTTTGTGCCATAAGATGAAGTAGCATGGTATCTTCTTTAACTCAAAAGTAGCCAACTTGCTTCCAAGAGATTGCTATCAAGAACCACATTCCACCATCTTATAGTACCAAACATATCTAAATGAAATGCAAAATTCACATTGCTTTTCTTAAGATCCATATATTGATCATATAAAGGTTCAACAAGAGACACCAAATAAGAACATATATGGAAGTTTTTTGGAACACAATAATCAAACTACCAGTAATTTATTTACTAAACACATGAGCAGAACAAACCCTTGACTAGAAAGAATCAGCCAACACACATTTCATACTCACTGGTACAACTTGTAGACATCCACATGACTTACATGGAAACCAGTAGCTTTCAAGGCAATGTATAAGCTGCAAACAAACAAATTTCAACCATGTCAGCCTAAAGAAAGAAGATCGGATAGTTGGTAAAAGCAGTAGAATCATGAAACCAACCTCCACATCGATAACCAACAGGACGATCAGCTATGTCGCATCGTTTCGGAATGGTCATGGCAATCTCGGGCTTGATCCCAGAACTTTTGGCAGTGTTAGACAGCATAACTGCACAGAGGCATTTCGGGTTTTGCCCCAACTTTTTCACCTGAGCACAGCAACTGGAAGAAACAGAAGCATGTTCATCTTGCGCAGCTGATGCACAAGGAGCGAGCTTGAACGCTTCCATATCAGGGTTCGCTTTCCCACACTCACCAGCTCCATCCACTTCACTCAATCCAGCAATGACAACAGCCACAAGAAACCCCAACAGGCATATGTATTTCATTGAAGCTTCCATGTTCTCTAAGTTCTTTGTATCCTTGAGCAGAATGCAGAAACCAATTGCAGATTCATGGGGTTTTATACTGGTTTAGTAAGTATAAAAGTTGCTTACACGTAGTTTACACTATCTTGAATGGAGGAAGCACCATCAAGAACTCATCTTTTTTGTTGTCTGTTGCATCACTAGCACCATTAAAATACAACTAAATGTTCCAGTTAATTATGTTATGAGCCTACGACAATCATTATAGGACCCCTTAAACAAGAATTCAAGATGTTCCACTGAACAGATGTCATCTGCGCAAGAGAGTGGACATTTTCTCTCAACAAAACCCCATCTCACCAACCACCCCATTATCCCTAAGAACTTGTACATATAAACACTCTTCATTTCACAAAAACAATAATATATCACCGAAAGCAAATTGAATGCCAGATGTTGTAATGGTGACAAAGCATGATCTCAGTTGGGTCTCCAAGATTTCTTGCCTAAAAGACTCGTAGCACCCAACACAAACATCTAAAAAGATTCAGATTCAAACATAGTTATAATCATTCAAATATCAAATTAATATGATTTAACGAGTGAAAGCAAACAAAACAAAGAAAACATAAATCAAAAGCCCCAAAGGAACAAAAGTCACAAGAGGAATCACAGCACCGTAAGTGTGCGAACTCCCACAAGCCAAAGTCCCAAGCTTGATCTGAGCCACATTAACAAGAGCCATCATTAAGAATCCGCACCCACAAACCGAACCCGCTGCAGAAATCAAGTACCCGACTCGAAGAGCGTTCCTGTTAATGTGACACATGTCAAAAGTGAAGATCATAAGCCGACGAGTCTCGCACGAGTTCTTGGCTATCCGGATGGCTTGTTTGAGACTCAAAGCTACAAGGCTGGAGAAGAGGAAGGAGCTGAAGGAGTAGACATGGAAGCAGATAAGGTTCTCGGCGATCTTTTGACCAGCTACACAATTTGGATCATTGACGAGGCTATTACGGGGGTCGGTAGGTTGCCAAGCTAGCCCGATGAAAACCGCTAGCGTGAACAAGGAGTTGACATTGACGATACCATCAAGGGCTGTTATGTGGATAGTGGTGGCGAATCGGCTAGTTTCTCCGCCATCAACGTTCATTGTTTTCTTTTCCGGCGTTAATCTGGAGATGGTTGTGAGTGGTGACAAGAATGTAGATACCCGGCTTCGATTTAGGGGAACGCAGCGAGTGTGGTGTGTTGTTTGGACAAAGAAGCGTGTGCGTCGATTTCTGATGTCAGTGGAGTTGTTAGGTTGAGTTCATCACCGCCTGGATCCAAACAACGGATCCAATTCCAATCAGCCCATATTCATCTACTTGCAAATTATTAATTTTAATTCGTAAAAATCAAATCAAAATGGAGAAAAATATATATCAAATTAAAGATAATAAATTCATCGAATTTTTTATGTAATTAAATTTATTTTATTTCAATTTTTTTGTATTTCACTGATTTTTATTTCAAAATTAAAGGGAATTATTTGTTTTTTTTAACCGTAATTTGTTGAATAATCTCAATTTTGGGTCTTTTTTCAAGGTTCTCATTCTTATATCAATAAAACGATAAAAATCAAGTTTTGGCTCTGATGAAAAATATTACATTTATAGTTTATTTTGGAATTTAAATTTGTTTAAATGCGTTATGAATTAATTTAATCAAACATAATCAGTCGCAAAAATAAAATAAAATGATGTAAATAATAATTTATATTTTATTATACTATTTTTTAACATCAAATAAAATATTTTAAACATATTTATTTCTACTTTGTTATAATTTTTAATAATATTCTCACATCTATTAATTGTTTATAAAATTAACCTGTCGGTGGAGTTAGTAGTGGAGTAAGTTCATCACCGCCTGGATCCAAACAACGGGTCCAATTCCAATCAGCCCATTAACATTGTTATATTATTATTTTTTTCTAAATTTCAATGATATCTTTAAATTCATATATTATTCAAAAATAAAATTATTATTGATTTTTAAAAATATATAAAATCGTATTATAACATCGATAAAGACAAATAATAAAATAGAACATTAAAATTAATATGTGTCTTGCTGCATTGCACTATTACTCTTCTAGTTTTTAATAATATTCTCACATCTATTAATTGTTTATAAATTAAACCTGTTTTGGATGATAAAATTTGTATTTTTGAGTTGAAGTTCGTTGACAAAAATATAATCAAACAGAATATGAAAGTGAACTTTTAGCATCATCAACTAAACATAAACAGTGATATTATCTGAAAACCCCTATAAACTCTCTTTCCTTTGATCCATTCTTCAAATTGTGGCTCAGCGATCCGTTCTCTTTGACTTCACCGGAGTTCGGTTTTCCTTTTGGCTTGGTTGACCATCCAGGGTATTCCGAGCAGGCGGCATATCTGCATTTCTTGTAGAAAGACAACCAGGACCTTCTAGCAATTGACAACTACTCCTGACCCTTGTTTCACCACCAAGATAGTTGGTTAAAGCCCGTCTGACCCCACAACCCCGGCTTGGTGGTTTGTTACTGTTGCTGTTGCCGGTTAAGAAAGGAGTTCGGTCCCCTCTTGCAGGGCTTATTAGCGGTCCAGGTGAAAACTTTGGAGTTCCAAAAGCTGTTTTGTATGGTGAGCTTGAGGTGGAAACTGAGACCCTCTTGTGACTACTTGTGCTGACTCTAGATGATCGATTCTCTGATTGTTTAGATAAGTCGTCTACATATAGTAGATCATCGATTCGTGCCACAATGTTGAATGCTAAACTCTCCAAGACTCTTGAGTAACCCTCCAAAATCGACTTTCCTACATCCTGAAAGAAAGAAAATCATGCAAGTTCGTATTACAGTATTCAAAAGCTTTCACATGACAAAACACAGGACTAGCTGAAACTTTGCAATATGATTATATGATACCTTGTTACATTGAATCTTGCTGGTGTCCAATGAGGTTTGAGTGAGAGAAGGAAACCGGTGTTTCAAGCAAAGCAAGAGGCTTTCTGCTCGTTCAGCTAGTAAATCCCTCTTATGCCCATCGGCCATTAGGTCCTTGACCATATCCCACGACGTTTTAGCAGTTGATCTGCTTGGGGTGGGTAAGGGTCTAGAGGGTCGTTTACGCCATATGTAGATTGCTGCCTCCACACGGTTTGCAATTTCTAGAGCAACGTGTTCAGAGGAAAGATCAAGGCAATCTAGCAAACATTCTGATGAGAATTGTTCGGAGATTATATACTGATAGATCACGTCCCCTAGACAAGCTCTTCCATTCTAGAAAATACAGAACCCAGTATTAGTACTACGATAAAGAAGAGAATGTAAGATCATGGATCTTTTTTGTTTTTCTACCTTTGGAAGGGTATCCAAGTATGAATCAGGAACCTCCATTTCAGATAAAGAAACGCTGTTGATTGCCATGGCAGCTTTTAGAATCTGATTAGCAGATTCACGCTTATGGTTTAACTGTTTCCGTGTATCTTCTCGAAGACCACCAGCAGGAACACGTGGCACAGGTAGCCACCACTTCTCTGCTTGGCGCTGTAATGGTTTACGAAAAGAGGCTAAGCCATCAGGTTCTGGCGTTGTTATTCCCTTATCAACGTACCAGAACTCCGTGCTAGTGAAACTATCTAGTATTTCCTGTGATTTTAAAACATAAACAGTAAAAAGATCAAATCTTTAGATTCAATAATGGTTCCCTGAGGAATTTTAAAAATTATAGTTTGAACATTAAAAGCTAACCAGAAGCATGTTGTCTAGTTTCCGAAGAGCTGGAAGGTTGACAAAAATATCTGATCTTGGTCTGCAGGTCATGATCTAATGTAGAACAATTTGCAGCATTTGTTATCACAACGATATATACGGGTTTTTACAATCTTGAAGTAGTAATGATCTAACACATTGATTTCAGATACTGGATTTGACTCGAGAAAGTCAAATTAGTGCTTGTTTCTGTAGTATTAGGTAAGTTTTTAAGCCAAAAGAAGAATTACCTCGAGCTTACTTCCATCGGGTAATGTTTGCCAAGAGGGTTTAAATTCGACAATATGATCACCAACACAAAGAAGGCATTCCATCTCCCTTTGCCACATTTGTTTCTTCTCAGAAGGCAAAGGTTCCAATCTCCACAGTTGACCAAATGCAGTGGCTGCACAAATAACATAACACAAACCCATTGTTTTATGAAATTAACATCAAATAAGGCTGGCCCGGGTGCAGAAGGGCTCATCGGGTTTGCTCGAAAAGGCTTAGAGGGAAAAAGCTATAATTACCACAAAGATTTGTGATGGCATTTGAGATGGCCAAAGCTGTGCAAACCCCTTTGCCACTTCCAGACATGTCTTCACCAAGCAATAATTTACCAAATTTCTCTTTCATCATCTCCATTTCTATTCAAGATTAGTAGCAAAAATAGGAAATAGATGAATTAAAGAAGGGAGGGAGACAAAAAAGCAAATGGAATCGAAAAAGTGATAAAGTTTGAAACTTTTTTTCAAACACATCCCTAAAACACCCAGCAGATTCGAATTCAAATATGAAAGACACATAATTCATAAATTTGAACCACAGGAAAAGGAAACTATGATTCTACTGTGCTAATCTGATTAAGTACTCACCTACTATTTTCCCAAACTCTCACTTTTCTTTAAATGTCATGAAGGAAATGATTCGAAGAAACAAAAAAGTACAACATACCTGAAACTTTGGTAGCCATTTTCTTGGTTTTAGATTCACCATCAAAATGGGTTTTTGTTTTTAGTTTGTCATCAGAAGCATTACAGCATTTGCTCATCACCTGAGCCTTTCTAATAGGCCAACCAAGAGGAGTAGGGGAAGAACAACATTCTTTAGAAGAAGTGACTGAATTGCTCGAATTCGAACTTGTTGTTCTGCTCTCGAACGAATCAAACCCATCATATTTTGGACTTGAATCACCTGAATTTTCCATCTGAAGCTTCACCCAGCAACTCAGAACCCCAAAATGTCAGATCTTTTTCTGCCTTTTCACCTTAAACACAATAACCAAATCTGTCAGAACTCTGTTTCTTGTTATGATAATTATCGACCGTAACTCATCAAGGCCTGTGATAAATAATAACATAACCTATGTTATGTGGGTTACTGCTGGCTTTGATTCAACTGCTAAAATAGCTCACGACTTCCAAAATTATAAAGAAAAAGGGTATGTGTTCCTTCGAAGAAGACAGGATTTGGGGAAAAAGAAGTGGTTTTGTTGAATGTGTTGAAATTTGATTTGAAGAAAGAAATGGTTAAGGGGTCCGTGGGATTTGATTCAAAATAAGGGTAATTTAAAGGGCAAATGATGTAGCCGTAGGGGAGAGAGATTGGTCGCAAATTCAACTCTTGAGACTCTTACTTTTGGTGATTTGAATAAGCGACAAATTACTTTTCCTTTCTCCTATTTTTTTCTTTCTAAAATTTAGAATTCAATTCTTCCCAAAACTACATTTTAAACTACTTGTCCCATCTAAATTTAAGGGGGTGGCTAATGGCACCCTTATCATGTGCTAATGCCACTCCTAATTAGGTTTTAATCATTTGAGTTTTATAAATTTTTGTGTTTTTTTGTTTTTTTGTGATTATTACTTTTTATTTTATTATTAATTAAAGAAAATTTTAATTAATATATATTATTTATTTAATTTTCTGTTTTATTTATTTATTTATATTATATTTTAATTAATATAAATTATTAATAAATATATATTATTCATTTTGTTTTCTGTTTTTTATTTGTGTATATTTTATTTTCTGTTTTATTTATTTATTTATATTATATTTTAATTAATATAAATTATTAATA